TTGGGCAGGGGACTAGGGTATGGGGAATATTGTTTGGTTGGGGATGAAAGCTTAGGGGTATGGAAAACAGTCCTTGTGTGCTGAGTCTTGTCTTTAGGTAAGGGCCAGAGGATGGGTTGAGTCTTGAGTAATGAAGCTGAGTGAAGTCAGCTGCTGATCAGAAATACAAAACTCTAAAAAAAATCAAAAGATCAATCTTAGTTTCTACAATAGTGGTGTTATCTACAGGAGTAATTGGAAAAGTTGCAAATCTTGTGACCTCTGGAACAATGGCCGGTTATTGTTTAAATATGCTAAACATCTTAGCAGAATTTTGGCCCCTCTTATACTCCTAATTTTGTGGCCTTTCTTTAGTTTTACAAAGATGGTTTAATTCTGGAAAGGGCTATTATCATCCTTGCTTTAAGGTTAGACTATAAACTAAATTCCTCCCTTGGTTAGCTTGGCCTACACCTAGAATGAGCGAAGCCAGCCAGCCTGTGAGGCTAGGAGCAAGATGGAGTAAGCCATGTTAGATTTTTTCTCACTGTCAGAATCTTTGCAAGAATGTTTTCATAGCAATAATGGAGGAAGTGAAGATGGTAAGTGTGATTATAGCCACAGAGACCATTGCATTAAGGATTGAATAAGTATCAGACTCTAGACCAGGGATCTATAAGTAGTATTTCAATAAATCTCACCTTAATCTTCTGAGGGTGAAATTCTTACCATACTCATTTAGCAGTTGGAGAAATGGATACCCAGGCAGGATGTGTTATTCTAAATTGTGGCTGAAAGAAAAGGGCCCTTGAAGGAGTCTGGTCCAAGCATACATCCCATGACTGTTACTGATGGCCTATGGCTTGGACTTTAGAACTGAAGAAAAGAAGGTTTGAGGAAGGGATCTGAGGAAAGCTGAAGAGAAATTAGGGAAGATGTGGGCTCCATATTTGACTACTGAGTCAAACATTTATTGATCACTATCTCTGCACTAAGATGGAGGTAAACAATTGTCAATGAAAAGACTCAAACTCTGTAAAATATTTGAAGAGATTAATTCTGAGCCAAATTTGAGTGGCCATGGCCTGGGGCACAGTCCCAAGAGGTCTAAGTACATGTGCCCATGGTGGTAAGGCTACAGCTTTGTTTTATATGCTTTAGGGAGTCATAAGACATCAATCAATACATATAAGATGTACATTGCTTTGCCCTGGAAAGGTGAGACAAGTAGGGGCAGAGGCTTCCAGGTCATAGATGGATCCAAAGATTTTCTGATTGGCAGTTGGTGGAGTTAACTTATTAACTTATCTAAAGACCTGGAATCAACAGAATACAGTGTTTGGATTAAGATATGTGGTTGTGGAGCTCAAGGTTTTTATTATACAGATGAAGCCTCCAGGTAGCAGGCTTCAGAGAGAATAGATTGTAAATGTTTCTTAGCAGACTTAAAAAGGTTCCAGACTCCTAGTTAGCACTTTCCTGGATCAGGGTAAATATCCAGAAAGGGAAGGGAATTCTCTACAGAATGTAGATTTTCCCCACAAGACAGCTTTGCAGGCCCATTCAGGGTCTGCTATCTGTCATGTGATACTATACTAGAGTCAGGTTGGAATTTGGTGTCCTATTGCTACAAAGTCTGTTTTGTCAGTCTTGATGTCTTTGTTCTAATGTTAATGCTGGTTAGTTGTGTCTGAATTCCAAAGGGAGTAGGGTATAATGAGGTGTGTCTGACACTCCCTTCCCATCATGGCCTGAACTAGTTTTACAGTTTAACTTTGGAATGCGCTTGCCTAAGAGGAGGGGTTGATTCAGTTAGCCTGGGACTTAACATTTTATTTTTGGTTTACGTGGTAATGACAAAAGTATTTTTGCCTTCTTCTCTCCCTCTTGTTTCTCCAGTGTATGTTTAACTGTTTCCAGCTGTAATTTCTGGAAAGCAACAAAAACTCAACTCAATAACTTGGCACTCAGGATTTATGGCTACATTTAGCAGATGAAGAGTCTTTGCTCTCCACTGCCTCACACCAAGACTCTTCTTATTATAATAGAATCTGGCTTTGGAGCTATTTTGGGTACCTTGCTCTCTCTACATCCTTTACCCCCACTTTGCTCATTGAGACACTGTGTGGACTTAAGATTAAGTGTAAGAACAACATCGTTTCTGAGAAAATGGGAGTCTGTATATATGTTTGTATATAAAGGAAATAGAGGTGTTTAAATCAGAATCTCTAAAAAGATGTGTCCATTTACTCATTCACTCAACAGTTGATTGTGTATTGAGTGCCAACTTTTTTTTTTTTTTTTTAAGAAAATGAAAATCCAATTTATTCAGCTCCCGGGCAAGGTTCCATGGTCCCGGGGAAAGGGGCCAGGGAAGTCGCACCAACTTCCTGGAGCATAAGGTTTTTATAGGTAGGAGGAACGAGCAACAGCTGGGTGCTCTGATTGACTCCAGGGGAGTGGGATTGAGACGGGGTGGGTTCTCTGGTGGGAGAACCGGCCAGGAGCCTTGCATCAGCTGGAGCCTTCCAGGGGAGCCCTGCAGCAGAGCTAGGTGCTGAGTGCAGAGCCTGGTGCCGGGTGCAGAGGTGGCTGTGTCTGGCCTCCCGGCGAGGCAATGAGCCTTACATTTTGACCCTTTTGATGATATAGGATGCCGCTTCTTTCTGGCTACTTCCTGCTGAATAGGGGCGGAGTGTGGGAGAAGGGTCAGTTGGCTGGTGCCTCAGTTGGGAGTCAGACATAGGGTTGAAATAGCATCTGGTTTACGGCCACCCTGGAAATTTCCCTCATGCGGGCCTGTAAAAACCTGAGGAAGAAAAGGGGCCAACATTAACAGAAGGCAAACGACAATGATGGGGGTGATAATAGGGGTCAGCCAAGTAAGCAAGGGGGATTGCCACCAGTTAAAAGGTGAGACTGATGCATTTTGCTTCTTGCAGAGGTCCTCTTGGAGGCGATAAAGAGCGTTGACATTTTTTCCACAAGGCCTGTTTCATTGATGTAATAGCAGCATTGCTCCTGAAGAAACAGACAGATACCCCCCCGCTTTTCTGCTATCAGCAGATTAAGGGCTCGTCGATTCTGGAGAGTTACCTGGGCCAGTGACGTGATTTGTCGCTGGAGGGAGGCCAGGGAGGCGGCTGACGCCTCAATGGCCACACGGAGCTTGCCATTTGGGCGGCTGAAGTGACACTGTAGCCCAGGGCACTGCTACCCATCCCGATTGTGTTTTTCTAGCCACTTTTCTAGATACCAAGAATTTAGAAGTGAACAAAACAGATAATTCCCCTCAGAAAGCATGCATTCTAGTGGAGAGAGGGCAGAAAATAAACCTGTAAATATATAATATGCCTGATATCAAGTATTATAAAGAAAAAGACATTTAGGCAAGGGGTAGGGTGTGCTATTTTATATAGACTGGAGAGGGAAGGCCTTAGTGAGAAGTTAACATTTGAATAGAAACAAGGGAGAGCGAGCCATGGGACTGTCAGAACATTCTGATAATTCTGATAGCATTCTATATATTTCTGATAATTCTTATTCATGGGAATATGAGAAGAACATTCCAGAGGTAAGGGCTCATGCATAGGCCCTCAGGCCTGCTTAAGAACAAACAGGCAGGCCAATATGTGTGGAGCATATGCGTGAGTTTTAGAAAATGATATTAGAGAGGTACTGGAGGTTGCGTAGTAAATCATGAGGGACGTTTTGTTGCCAAATATAAGGACTCTGACTTCTGAGTGAGACGGGAAACTATTGTTGTATTTAGAAAAGAGGACCTCTGGTGTGTTGGATATAAAGACACAACTCTGACTCCTTTGTTACAGGATGGAAGAGTTTAATCTGGTGCTTTTGCAAACCACTCGCAGGAGGAAGATGGACTTAACAGCTTATTGAATTTAAAATGTTTATTCACATGGGATGCTTTAATCATTTTGACATTACTGAGAAAGTGCTATGTAAAATGTAAATATTCTGAATCCTTTTGAAGAAACATGTTATAAAGATGAAAAATCTTTTTAATTTTTAAATTATTTAATATCACAATACAAAATAATTCTATTATTAACTAATATTGTTGTGTTACTGAAAATTTGGACATCAGAGCAAAGTGGTATGTGCATCAGTTAAGGTTATCTGATGGCCTATAAGAGAAATCAACTTTTCTTTTAAAAATGATATTTATTGGGAAGGCATTGGGTAACCTGCTAATCAATGGAAAACAGTCTGAAAAATCAGGAACAGAAATACATAGGAATCAAAGCATTTGATGCGAGTAGGGGGCGGTGGGGCAGGTAGGGAGATTGGCAGGTGGTTGTCTCAGAAGCAGGTGTTCTTCTCAGGCTCTTTAGAATGCTACCACTGGAACTGAGATCTAAACATTTCCTACCTCTCTTCCCCTTTGCTCCGTATTTCTCTTAATGCCTGAGTATGTGACTCTGGCCATGGTAGGATAAGATGTCTTGTTTGACAGTCCCACTCAGCAATAGTCAATGGTCAGAGCAATAGCTCAAGGAAATTAGCATCTGTTAACAAAAGAAAGTATAATGGATGCTGATCAGCTAAATGCTACAAATGCCACAGTGTTAGTCCCAGTTACATTTCCTTTCACTATAATTCTTACAATTTTGGCACATCTTCTTCTATCCATATTTCTTGTATATGTCCCAGTTTTTTTAAACTTAATTTTATATGTTGTTAAATGGCAAAATTGGTAGTCTTGTCATACATTATTTAACCATTCCTAAATTGCCCAACATTTAGATTATTTTCATGAAAATGTAATAAATACAGCAGCAGAGAATAGTAATAGCTAACCTAAGCTGGCTGAATGGTAATTCTTGACTCCTAGATGTCTGGTCTACCCTACTATGCTTCTACAAGAGAGAGAGCAAGATAAAATAAGCCCACATTCCAGCAGAAGTATTTAGATGAGGGAGATTTCATTAGGCATTGAAACTGACAAAACAGTAAGCCTTATTCTCCCAAGAACTGACAATTTTTTCTTTGTCCATTAGGGGGCAAGCTGATTTTCCTGGCCCCAGGACCCATCGAGCTCAGAGCGCATGCCATCCTTGTTTCTGACGGTGGAGAGCTCCGGATTGGATCCAAAGACAAGCCATTCCAAGGCAGAGCTCAGATCACACTCTATGGGAGTCCCCACTCAATTCCCTTCTTTCCCTATGGAGTCAAGTTCCTGGCTGTGAGGAATGGAACTCTTTCCCTGCATGGTGAGTGAGGCAGTTGATCCGAGGAAGTGACGTAGAGCTGTGTCTAGCAATGGAAACTGATAAAATTATTTAAAAGTCTTTGATGATAGTTGCTAAGCCAACCAGATCAGTTAGAGCATGGTACTGTTTCCTTAAATAGCAAGTATAACCATTATGGTTTCGGTGGCAGATTATACCACAGTTCCCAATTATTTGCTCCCTTTCCTGTAAGAGGATTGTGCAAACTTCCATCCACTGTTAGGTGACTTTCAGTGCCTTCTTGTGGGTAGACCACACTTCCCAGCCCCTTTGCAAGAGCAGACTTAGCCTTGGAGTTGTCAGGGGAATGTGAGCAGAAATGGTGGACTACATGGCCAGGGGAAGGTTTTAAGACCTGTTATGATGCTTTAGCCATTTCGTTATCTTCCTGCCACTTGAGAATAGCCTGTCCCAGATAGGGGCAGTTCCTTCAGCTTCGAACCTGAATGAAGACAACATGGGGCAGTGCTGCAGCTGACCTACTGCTCTCATGTATGTGAGTGAGAAATAAGCCTCTGTCGTAAGCCACTGAGATTTGTGTTTGTAATTGCAGCATAACCTTGTGAAACCTGACTGATACAATTACTTAGCGTGTACTGATATCTCTTGACATGCAGTAGCCTGGTATCCCAAATCAAATGCAGACAACCTCATTTAGTTACTGAACCCTCTTCCTGTCTCCTCCCACCCCCTATCCCATGAACAGTGTTTAATTATAGTTCTGCTTAGAATCCTCTTACAGGCAGCAGGGGTGTTTAAGGATTCCTAGGAGAAAACGGATTAGGCTACTGTGTGTTTCCGCTCCAACTTTATTTGCCTTCTGATCATCTAATTCCACTTTGCAAAATGGACATTTTTCACCCTTGAGATTCAGGAAATTACTAAATGTGCCAGGATAATCCTTATTAACAACTGTAAAATGTCAGTATAAAAAAATGAGTAAGCATATTTCAGTGGGCATTTATATGCTTTTGGTTGCATAGCATGAGCCAAAGGCGGATCAAAAATGTGGGCTCCAGATAGTGACTCAATCTCCAGAAAACATAATGTCTACATTGATATTTCTATATTGGCATCACAAAATAACCCACTTATCATAGGATAACTGCCCTAGATGTGGGCATGGAGCTGTGCCGAGGAGTCTGCCATTTTTCTCTGTCCAGACTCTGTCTCATACCAACCACAGGCCCCAATCATTGTCTATCAAAAAGCACTCTCATGCCTCTTTTGGCTTACTGTGAGAGGAAGCAAGATCTTTCCCTCATGCCCACAGTGTTGACTGCAGCCTATCCGGGGTGCTAGACACTGGGCGTCAAATTTTGTGAGGTTAAAAATACTCCATAACTCATGGGACAGAAATTCAAAATGCTTACTCTGTTGATTCTATCATCAACTTTCAAGAGACCTTTTTTCCTCCTGTCTTCATCAGCAAGTACCTACACTGATTTTGTAGCCCAGGATCTATTCCACGTCAGCCATGGTTTTCAAATGTTTGCTCTAGCCCAGTGGCCTCTTAAGCCACCAACCCAATGTGCTGCTTTTTACTACTAAAAAAATGCAGCTAGGGAACAAGTTGGTATATATTTGTGGTTCAGCCTGCCCATAGATGGTCCAGAGGACCCTGAGGCTTAGGAGGAATCCTCAGATTTGAGAGCTACTGTCCTATATGATGCAGATAGCACAACTTTTACTGCAAACAGAAATTCAAATGAGGAAAAGTAAAAACTCTCCTAATTCTTTTATTCTGACTCTTTCATTCCAAGCTCATCTAATTCTCATGCTCTAGTGTGAAGAATCAGTGAAAGAGCTCATAAATGTATCTTTTGTGCCTGTATTTTAAATGTATCCTGTGCTTGTAAGCCTTTGTGATTAAGCAAATGTCAAGAAAATCCCTAATGCCGTCGGTTATAGTCAATATGGGGCAATTCAAGCAAGGTAAATGCCTCTAATATGTTTTGAAAATTCTGAAAGTTAAGAAAAAATGTTGCTACTCTAGCCATCTGATGTTACTGGATATTGAGAATGGGACCTTGTTTTTCTCTGCTTTCCTCATTTTCATCTCCTCCTTCCTCTTACTTCCCCCTCCCTCTCATTTATTCTCTTTCTCCCTCCTCTCTCTCTCCCCCATTTCCATCCTCCCTCTTCTTTATTCTCCTTCTCCCTCCTCTGTCTTTCTCCCTGTTTCCCCGTATTTCCAGATTAGGCCATTTTCAAAACTGGTTAAACATTCCCCAAAGGGTTTAAGACAGAGAGCTGACTAGGATCTCACCTGAATCACAGAGCTTGCCCGTTGAACACAGGCAAAGATCAAGCCATTTTCTATCTGATGTGCTGCTGCAACATCTCATGCATTTGAAAGAAATATTATGTAGAAAAGAGCTCAGCCATTTAGGTGAGAGGGATTCCCTTCGTGATGTATCTGTCAGAGAATCACAGTTCCACGTGCAGCTCATCAATTCTCTCCTGTCACTTCTCCCTCACCACCTGAGGTCTCAGACAGATTTCCCCTCCAGCATGGTGGTATATCATGGCTAAAATCATTACATAATTTCACTGGCCTTTTGCTAGAGCCAGAGGTGGGTCTGGTGATACCAGGGCTTTAGGAAAAAGCTAATTTTCTTTTACCAACACGTATGCAAAATAGTGAGCAACTTGATTTACTGCTTTGCACCCAGGAAGTCCTTAATGACCCAGCATTTACTCAGCTTCCCAGGATAATGTAGTGAGGATATTTACCAACTTTGGTGCACAGAAGACCATTTTGAGGAGATTTTTGTAAATCTAGATTTTTGGGCCCGGGAATGTACATGTGATGTGACTCAGGTGGCCCATTGACTACACTAGGAGAAACACTGGTTCTAGTGGTTAATTGAATTGGAATCAGAAATGGGCCCAGTTCTGCCACATATCAGCTATGACTTTCAACAGATCTTTAAAAAATCTGAAAAACACAGTTCCCACTTCATACACTTACTGCTTATGAAGTGCTCCGGAGTGTTGGGCACACAAAACAATGTGTTAGCTACTGCTCTTTTGACTATATGTATTTTTTCCCAAAAGCACTGAGTACCCAGTGCTGATTAGTGCATAATTCTTTTAGGGGTGAGAAAATGTGGGGCATGATGGTGGTGGGGGCGTATGTCTCAAAATCTACCTAGAGATTTTTCTCCTTATTAATTTTCTTGTCTATCTCTTTTCATCAGAATAACAGAAAGGTTTTAACTTTGGAGATCATGCGGTAACAACATTCCCAGGCATCTTCTGTTGTCTTCCCACCATCCAGTCAACACCTTTAGATTTTAATCTCTTTGGTGCAGCTGCTTCCCAGCCGTGGATAACCACCATTCCTGGGTGTGGTTACAATAAAGACTTCTTAGAAATGATTTGCATGGGTTCCAGTGCAGTCAGAAGCAGGGCACTGCCCTGCAAACGAGGCCCTTGGCAGACATTTGGTTTCTAATATTCAGCAGCATGTGGGCCTATGGATTCTAATTTAACTCCAGCTCAGGTCCTATGGAATCACAAACGGTCTGCATGTCAGTCTAGTCGCTTTCCCACCTTCTGCCTCCATCTCATTCTTCATTATTGCCCTTTGAAACCCTTCTGCTCCAGTTGATTTTTATCTTAGATTAAAATCACCAAGCAGACAGGCTTTGGTGTTCAGCTGTCACAAAGCAAGATGGAGTTGAAAGCACGTTTCATGTATTTCTTTGAATGTAGAAGAAAATACCACACCCTCATACACACACCTGCACATACACACCCACACTCAGCACTGTCTTTTCTGTTTCTGTTTGTTTGGGAGTAGATGGGGACAGAACAGTAGATGAGGACAGGTTCTGAGTTGCTGGTGGAGTTCAGATGGTTTAGTAACTCTGTCAGCTGCTCACTTGGATGTGTTAATATGACTAAAGGGTCTTGGGATTCCTCCAGTGTGGCAGTCTGGGGTTTGGGTAGCTGTAGTCAATAAGGAAATTTCACTCTTGCCTTTTGCCTTCATCACTCTGTCTGCCAATCCAGGTTCACCATCCAAACTGAGTGCCAATCACTTGTCACTTTTCAAGGGGGTTGCTGTCAGCCTGGGCAACTTAAATTTTTGACAATGTAATTATGGCTCTTGCTTCCACAGTGGGAATCTGAGCAGGATGGTGGAGGTTTTATTGATTGTTCAGCAGGGAAATTTATCAATGTCTCTCACTTAATTTCCAGTTCCTCCCTGAGAAATTTGGCTGACAGTTTCTTAGGAGGAAAACAGTCTCATGGCCTTGACTGGACTTCTGTCTTTGTCCTTTTCAAGAAATTACAAGATACAGGCATTAAATATAAATGGAAATTCCTGAGAAAAACTGGTATGTGGGGCATGATTGAAGAAAGCATGAGTGCAATTGCAAGGAACATGAGCATTTCGTAGGAATAAATAAAAAAAGCAGTGGTCTAAATAAGCAAGCTTAGATATGGTTTGTTTTCCTTCTAAAAGTACCAAGTATCTGCATGTAAATTCTATGATTTTTATGAGTACTGTGTTATGTGCAGTATTTTTGTAGTTGCTAGAGTGTAAGGCTGTCTTTAAGCATGATATAAAATGTATGGAACAGGTGCATGTGTGGGAGTGTATTTCCAGTCAGTGGTTTTCATATTGTGCTCCACAAAATCCAAATGTTTCCTGGAGGGGATTTAGGGGTTTTATAAACAATGAATATTGGAGGTCAAGTGATAAAGGTTTAAATTGCTCTAATAATTGATTTATCGCTTTTATCTCTGTTACATATTTGTGTTCAAAGTAATAGTGCATTAAAAGACAGAGTTCCACTGTTAAAATTGTGATTAAAAAACTTTACTAGGTCATTCTTTTAACTGTGGTATATGGATCCTTTTGAGGTGTCCTGGGCCGCTCTGCATGATTCCTATTTCCCCATGACTGATTTAGCTCCGGGACATTTTCAATAAAGTCTGTTCTTTGATGTAGGATAAAACTTTCTAGA